CTCGAGCTATCTTTTCCACATTCGTCGCGCACTTTTAACTACCTATCTCTGAGTAAGGGACTAAGTCCGGTTGAGTGTTATTTCTCCCTTATAAAGCAATGTATCTCAAATGTAATTTCTCATCGTGACTAATCGTGGCTGTTTTATAAAATGTTTGGCTTCAGACATATTCTGGAATTTCGGCTTTCCGAGCAGGTGTCTCAATCATCCTTCGTTGCTTCGATCCCTTCATGTAGTCGCACTGGATTTCTTATTTCACTCTTAATTAAGTATAGATACAGGATATACCTCCTTACAAATATCTTAGATGCCTTCGGGCAGCGGTACAAATATCGGCGATCAGTCCTGTTGCTGGACTCGGTGTTCCATCTTATCTGATGAGCCCCCAAGTGCTTCCTTATTTCAAACGCTAGAGCCAACACCCAATTAACCTTCATACAGTCAGGATTCTTATGATTGTGAGGTTCGTCCCTTTTATTATGTACCTTTTAGATATATCAATAATTAATAAAACAAAACTACTGATTTCTGATGCATTTTTGACTGTCGATTCGTGAACGGTTGCTTATATCCATCTTTGCTCTCATTATCAGGACAAAGGTTCATCCGGTTCCAGCCGCCGCAGTACTGGAGCACAACAAACAAGTGAGTGTATCAAACCAAAAGTCCGGTGTGGAAAAAACGAATTGATTGATTGATTAGTTTATTCATCGATCAGTGGATTGCTTGACTGCTTGATTGGTTTGCTCCATTTTGTTCCTTGCGGTCACCGTTTAATTTTGAATTAGGTCGTTCAGTTAGCGGCGAATGGGTTTTGGACTGAAATTTCGTAACCTGAAAAGAGCAAATAGAGCACATGGGTTGATCTTCTTACTGTTTCATGTTTGTGTGCATGAGGTTGCAGAGCAAGGATAGACAATCTCAAGTCACAGTCTCTTCGGTATTTTGGTCGTTAGTTGACCAAGTACCTAATGAAGACGGCTGGTGATGATCAACGGTAGCAGTGAAAGAAAGAAAGAAAAACGGATACAACTGTATTTTGCTCTCTCACACTGCACGTACATCTATGTATGTATACTCGCGCGTTTTTCTGATTGTGAATGTTCACCTGTGTCTATGTTATTGTGCGCACCGATTAGCTCACTCAGATCTATGGGTGAGAGAGATGGGAATGTCACACAATCACCGGTCAGTTTGACCCGTTCCACTTTTATGCGCAGCGATGTGTCACACATAACTAAACGCGATGCTCGATTCGGCTCTGTATTCGTCGAGCACAATGTGAACTAGTTTTGAGCACAATACCTTACCATGTAACCAGGTTAATTTTTCCTTAATTTGATGCCTTTGATGATTAGAACTTTCCCTGGATGGGTACCGCGGGATGATCATACCCGATGGTTAGAGACACTGAGTGGTATGGCTGGGTGTCGTAAATGGTGGCGTTCGTGCATCCTGTCAGTTTTTCTGCAACATTAGTCCACTGAAATCCCAAATTTTCTTCTTGATCGTGCTTTCAACCTTCCCTGTCTTTCTCATCCGAATGAGCATCCAAAAGACAGCAACTAATACCGGCGCACGATAATGCACGGTTAATGGTTGTACAAACTGAACTGAACTGAGCAAAGGTATGCAATAGAAAAGGTTGCACTAGACGTTTCCTCGCGACATGCTATATCATTAATCAATCATCTCAATGATTTTTGCAGTCGTCTTGGAAGTGTAACATGCACTAGGTATGGAATAAAAGGCGAGGAAATACGTGCTACGTGTTCAAACGATTTGAGGTACTGCGTTGTTAATCACTTCAAATGTAACTCCTTATGTTTGTCGCTCGCTGTAGAAATCAATTACCTCGTAGCGAAAATCATACCCGACAGTGATTTAATTTGGGAGCACTGTTTTTGACTTCATGTATTTTACTTTCACCTCGCACTTCACCTCACGATTCTGCTTTCCTTTCGCTCACATACAACTTCACGTATCGAATAAGTCTCTGTATTTGGGTGAGTCGGCTTCAATGTAGCCGGTGATTATTGTTCGCTCAACTATCGGAGGCTAGATCAATGTAGCTTGTGATCTGCGGGGAATTTCAGTTTCGAGTATTGTTCATCATTTTCAAACTTCGCTATCGTAATCTAACTCTGGTTTGTGATCGAAGCGATGTCTCCACATCCGGCAGGAGGAAACTCTAGTATCAGCGCAGTATCGGGCTGTCCATGCAGGTGCCTATTTCCATCATCATTTACGACCGTTCTTGACAGAGAAAACGGCTTTACATTGAAGTATGCGGCATCTAATCAGCTGACCCAGTTGATCTCTGTTAGAAATTTTGATTTTTAATTTGTGCTCTGAGGAACTGTCCACGTCACTTTTGTTTGTTCAGCGTTACTAATGAATTTCTTCAATCGCTCTACAGCGCATCTACGCTTCCGTGCTGTATCTGTTCGCAGTTATATTCGCCACAATAGTTCGACGTAACTAATGTACCAAGCGGTCGAATTAAGCCTAGGGTAGGCGTTGACAATAATGTTTAAGCCCGTGCTATTCTGAGATAGGTGATCCTCAACAGTAGGTACCCATGGATAAAGCTGGAAGGAACATTTGATGGAGTCGTTGAACATAACTAGACAGTCCCGGTAACACGTTGGTAACCAAGGCCGAATATGCTCCGTCGTGTGATGTGTGAGCGTCTGACCGTCCGATGCCTCTGTCTCAACTCCCGCAGAAGTTAAGCTATCGCCTTTGGGTATACTATCGACTGCTTTTTGCACTTGGTGGTTCAAAATGTCTGCAGCATGGAACGTGTTCGTGTATGGAAATGATTCATCTGTCGTATTGGTGATGACGCCGATTCTGGTAAAGGTGGGCTTCCATCGATTCTGTGTCGGGTTGGCCAGTGTAGAACTTAAACTGCAATGACAATCATGTATGATGTAAGTGAAGAGTAGTTCTTTTCCTTCCGTTATCACAACTCGCGGTGTGAAGTGTTGATAAATCAAATGTAGAAACAATTGCTCGTGATCTATCTATTATCGACTGAAAACGTTTCAGTAATCATGTTATGGTCAATCCTACATGACTCTACCGGCTTGGGTTTTCCATTGATGAGCACATCATGTTTTTTTTCGCACAGGCGTTTCGGTGGTATACACGAAAATCATAATCGTCGTTTTCAACGTGCAGCGCACGGTTCCATGCTTGTCTGTTTTTCTAATAAGTGGACACTGAATGTGGTCAACAATGTCTTATTACAAGAATCTGTGACAACTGCGCACGAATGTGCTCATACACATGCGTATATGCTTCTGCTTCTTGCTCTACGCGTGCACATCTGTGTGAATCTACAGAGTTGCACTAATACGAGACATTCCATAACCGATGCGTCCTCGCCTCCTGTTTTGCTGTCTTCGCTTCTCTATCCACCTTTCTATCTGGCAGCCAGATTAAGTGAGAGAAAAAGTTTTGTTGTGCACAGTAAGCAGTCGCAATCGTACGCGGTCGCCGCCTGTATAGAAAAATGGAGAAATTGAAACACTTACGCCACCCTTATCTCCTCAACCTCGCCTAGGGTATTTCTCGCTCTACCTCACGAGCGCCCTCACTCTCTATCACTCGTGTTGACAGGAATGGTCGGAAACGAGGCTCCCGTAGCGTTTGTAAGCGTGTCTACGTTTTCACATGAATAGTTGCTCGTATCCGTAGATATACTTGTGTACATACGCTTATAGAAAGAGAGGCGAACGGATGGATGGATAGATAGATAAATAGGTGCAGGCGTGCGCCCAAATCTACACCCACTCTTACCTCGTTTCATTAAGTGTAACTTTCAACGGAGACTAAAGTAAATACGCGCATACGTGCATACCTACGTCCACACAACGCAAGGCGATGGTCGCATCCACGTCAAATCAATAAGTCCCATTGCGTAGCTTACTGAATTGACAATATTCTTCTACTTTGCACGACCCATTTGCTCTTAGCTCAATCCCAGTTTGAGATCCAACCACGTGATTACGAGTCGGTTCGTTGCAGTTCGATCATACTGCCATTGCTCACCACCACATTGCCGCGTTCATTGTTTCAGCTGCAACATAATACCAAACCCTGAGAGAGAGAGTGGTGGGGTTTCCTGACCAGTATGTGCGTATCGCTTAGTGTATGCGCCCTGTGTTGAATCATGGAGATTACTTTTTCACTCCTTGGAAGGTGAATCATCCGAACTGGTTTTCGTCATAATAATAGGTATACCATTAAAGTGGATTGATTAATCTATGGGTTTCTATTGTTCAGTGGAAAGTCCACTGGCCCCCTTCTTGTGTTGTGGACCCCCATCTGAAGCGCAATTACTCCGTTATCCGTTTCATGTCATCTACCATGACAAACGGTGGACATGGCCCAAAATGAAACTGATTACTTTATGCGCGCTGTGTGAACTGCTTCAACAAACGCTTGTTCACTACACCCTATCCTGACATTTGTGAAAAAGTGCTCTCCTGAAAACAGATGGTTATTGTTTTTCGAAATGCTGTTCACGTAAACTGTCTTCGTTACTGTGATTGGCCGCTTGGAAGTTGATCTTAGTTTACGCGACTGGAATAATTTGTGTACGGGGATAACACGAATAGAAAAATGCACTAGTTGTTACGTATTCCGTATGTGGATTGCGTTTGTTCAATAACGAAATTCCTTTTGACTCAGCATGAATAACTGCTTTTCGGCTAGTTTGTGCATTTCAAAGGTATAATTGTTTTTCTGCGTTTTCATAGACTCTAGTCCGCAGACAGCTTCCGATGTGAATGCTTCGTATCCAACTACATCCAGCGCACCCGCGGTCGGTTCAACCATAGGAGGTTCGGGTAGATCTTCACAAGTAAGTGCATGTACAGAAATTTGTTCCTCTGATTTAAGGATGACTACTTTATCCCTTCCTCTCTTAATAGGATAGTTTCAAAGTTTAATACNAAAACAGTTTGGAATCAAGTATGTCTGAATCCAGGTTGAATTGGTCTCACACTCTTTATATATATATATATATATATATATATATATATATAAAGAGTGTGAGACCAATTCAACCTGGATTCAGACATACTTGATTCCAAACTGTTTTTTTTTACCCAACCGTCCTCAACAGCAGCAGACTCGTGGTGGACAAAAATAGAACGTTTCATACCACCCTTCTCAGATTGCAGCTATTTCCCTCAGATTCCATTATCGCTTGTTGATATTCATCCTTTCAGTGGCTGTAAATTATTTTCGACTAAGTTCTTGCTTGCCTTCTGTCTATTAATCACACATTTTGTTCGTTTTTCAAGTTTATACTCTGCATCTCTCCATTCTCCACAGGCCTCGGAATTCTCATCAAACTCCCGTTGGCGATCGTCTAGTAAGAGGTAATTATCCATTTAAATATCCCGTTGTGTTGAAACCCGATTCCTTTTTTTGCTTTGCTTTGCTTGTGCACACACTCATCGCGAATTCCGTCCCACGAGCACCGAAAAATTGCTTCTATCCTTCTGTTTGTTAGAAAGTAAAATAATCGTTTTCTTCATCTGGTTGCCATAAATAAAGCCGCTTTTGTTTATAAAACTGTTGCTTAGGAAATCGCTGGAGAAACTCTACTGCTATCACTTATTCCTTTTTACATATCCAGGGAGCCGAATCATAAAAGAAGGTTAATAAATCGATTCGTCTACATGTATACGTTAGCTCGATGCTCTCCTATCCGTGCATTTGTAACTATAATGTTCTCAGTGCACAAGGCATTTTTTCCTGAATATCATCTGACTGGAGTTATTTTTACGCTTTGGTACCTCGGAGATTGCGTGTGTTGGTAATAAATGAACAAAGCGGGAAATATTTCTTGTTGATCGTAGACTGTAAATATCATCTTAGAGAAACGGTTATGCTATTTGTCTTTCAGTTCCGATGTCTTACATATACGCATGTAGAACAATTTCAATATGTTTTTACTTCAATAAGCCCTGATTTTTGTTTCACTGTCCAATTTCTAGTGCCTCTGGTCCTGGCGCTTATTCGTCGGTCGTCCTTCCTGGTGGACAAACACGGCCATGCGCTCTCGCATCAGCCCCCGGAGCTACTACTGCTCCTGGTCTGCCCCGAAGACTACAACATTTGGCTAGTTTACCCCATGGAGATGTGGTTTGTGCCGTCACCATAGGTCCTTGTCCGATTGGTCGTGCTTCTTCAGTTAGTGCTGCGACAGACCTGTGCCGCGGAGCGGCTGCTGCAGCTGCGACAGCAAGCGATACTGATAGTCTCACTGGGTCACCCAATTCTACTGCACCTTCATCCCTCGCTACCGGGGCCGCACACTTTGCCTACACCGGTGCTCGGGGTAGTGTGAAGCTCTGGGACCTAGCGTCCATCAGTGCATCCGCTCTGTCTGGATTGTCCTCACGTGACTTATCACCTTTGGCCACTTTTGATTGCCTCTGTTCAGATAGTTATGTGCGGTCGATCAAATTATTCCCAGTAAGTGTCCCTTGTGTTAAAACTGCCATTTTCAAAAAGTTTTACGTACGTCGGACGAAAATGCTGACCACTTCTCTTGCAAGTGTTCGCGGACCTACTTTTTGCAGTTCTTGATTGTCTGGACTTTGTTGTTACAACAATGCAGGACATCAATATAATCTGATATAAATTGTCAGTTCCGCAAAAAGAAAGAAGTCAATTTTCGTTGCACATAAACGAAATCTTTTCAAGGTTACTTAAAAGCTTAACTGTTGCAATATTGGGTCATATTGCGTTTTTTCGTTATACTTGTGCTCCCCCCTTTCATTTTTTTAAACTCCCCGCTCTGATTGGTTTACTCGCACCGGTTGGTCGTACGTTGCCTGGTTATGACCGGCCGTGGTAGAGCAGTTGTGTGTTAATCGCTATTACCTCCATACACATTCTCGTTATCTGTTTGTTGCATCTGGTTTGCTGAATGGTGGTGCTAGAACGTATTGCTTATCTGTTATATGGGTTTATCCAAAAAACAGAAATGTGACTTGCTGAGTGTCTGAATCAGTCTATTTATAAAAATGAAATCTTGAGGAGCTGCTTTTCGTTGGCTCTCACCGCCTAGCCATCGGAATGTGTTGTACGTTCCTGCCCATCTTAGGTCAAGTGTCTGTTCAGCCTTTTAACACTTCATTCATTTTGTCTGCAGGACGCCTCTCATCTGATCATCGGCGGTGAATCGAATGCACTCACGTTGTGGGACTTGGCCGGGACTGGTCGTCGTAAGGCCGAGCTCACATTTGAAGCACCTGCATGTTACGCCTTGGCCCTTTCACCAAATGGAAAATTATGTTACAGGTGAGTTTCGGCCTGTTGAATGTGAATAATTGGTCAATCATGTCTTTGCAGTTAACGAATATTAGGTATACATCTAGTTAAAACGAAAAGGTATCAGGCGATAGTGGAATCCAGACGGAGTCTTCTAACAGTTTCTTGGTTGCAAACGCGAAGCGAGAGATGTAGAAAAAGCGTTTTTTCCAGGTGTTTTTATCCGCTTTTATCATTTAGTTTTTTGTTAAAAATAAATAACCTTTATAAAAGAGAAACACCTCCAATCATTGTATCCATTGCTCTCAGGGTCTCTAACCACTGTCGTCTATTATTCGTTTATTTGGACCCAGTCTTGTAGATCCGCTTCTTCCCGGTCGGACCGGGTTTCAATGTTCCCTGAGAGGGACGGATTTATGTAAATATAAAGACATTGCCTAAATCCTGAATCCCCATTTCACTTAGGTAACAGATATCTCTGTGCGGTGTAACGTTCTTCAAGTCACGCCAGTTGATCAACAGGCGCACGTTTTCGTACTTGATACATAGTTGATACAACCGAGGCTCTTGGTCAAATGATCAAACCCAGAGAATGGCTGGACTGTGCTACGAGATAATGATCCTCGCGGAGCGAGTGATTTCCAAGGATTGGTTGTTATGCCTTTCATTCGGCTGCACCAAGTCGAGGTTCCCAGTATGCCTTCGAAGGATTGCACGTCCGGGCTGAGTTCCGCACGGCAGTTTGGGGATCGATCCAGATGAACCCAAACATCAAGGGCTCTAACCCGGGTTTGTCATAGCACCGATCCGTCTTTGTGGTATTTAATAGAAAACCCAGACGCTACTCCAAAACAACGCCTCATTTCTGGGAACCGATGCTACTTGCTCGCAACTTCAAAGCAGTTATTCCCGTGCCTTTTCCCCGACCTGCTCCTAAGAAAAAACATCCTGACGGGCCATATTTTTTCATTCGAAGGTATTTGCTCTGATGAGGGACGCTGAAAAAATAGCGCAAAACAGGACTTATATATGAAACCAAGTTGTCAGCCCTTGTCATCCTTCCGAAAGCTGAAATAATACTGTTGTAATTGACCGCAGAAACAAAGTCTTAACACTTTTTAGCTTTATGTAAGG